TCCAAGCCGCTCGGCATGTGGTTTGGTAAAAAGTGGGAGGTCTTGATGTTCCGGATCTCCAGTACCCCCTGAATTTTCGTTTTTCAGGAAGTTCACTTGAGCAGTCCACGTGTTGTGTTTTTTGTGGGTACTTGTGAGGTATAAGACGGAATTCACATGCAACCCCATTTGGGCGTGTCTTTTTCTGAGGGTGCCTTTTGTTGGTGGTTTTAAGCGGAAATTCAAAGGAACAACACCATTTTGGGAGTCCCCCTTCCAAGAAAAACGCCCAGCTTAGCCGGAAACCCATCCTCAAGAAAGGAAGCAAGTTCCAGGCAGCCAAGTTAGACTGTTGGTTTAGTTTGATTGGCTGCAGTAGGAAAGTCGCTGAGAACCTTCCTAAAACAAACTTGCTGGTTCTCAGCAGTGACCCCTACAAACAATCCAACCATATTATCCTTTCGGGAATCCCCATGGTTCACTCTCCAAACCCGGACTCAGGGTCATTCCCTACCTCTCGCACCAGCAAAAAGCAAATCAACCAAAAGGGGGCGCGGTTTCAAAGGACGCCTCCGACCCCATTTGGAGTCGACGCCAACTCCAAAAGTCGTGGCTCCCCCGGTCCTGCCAGCCATGTGAGTGCAGCAAGAAGAACGATTTTCGATCCTCCCCGAACAAGGAAACAGTGGTCAACCAATCCATCAACTTTGGGGCTGAACATGAAACCGGCACCTTTTTGTGAAGTTTCCGCAGCGAGGAAATTTTCGAGCCTCCCCGCACAAGAACAACTGGGTCCCCCAGTAGTGCCCTTATCTCCCCTTTGTTGGGGGGAGGGTTCTCCTACTAAAATAGACTGCAGGAGAAAAAACAACACGGGATACCAACTTATTCCAACCTCTCTAATGGAGGACCTACCAAAAAAAGCCGAGCCCTGAACAAGGGCAAAACAAGACCAGGGAAGGTACCTGCTGTTGTGAAGCGTGGTTGGTGCACTCCCTCAAAAGAAGCCGAGCCACCAGTCGCCTGAGTGTTCAGGCTGGCGCGGGCCTTCCTGGTGCGGAAAGTGCTGCGCCAGCGCCGGGCCGCGGCGCGAAGCCCCGATTTCAGACGAGCGAAGCCCCGGTTTGCGGGGCGTGGCAGGGATGGGTGCAAGAAGTGGGTTTGTTGGTTTAGCCGTTTGTTTGTATGTGTTTAACAAGAATGTGCTTGCTTGCTTGCTTGCTTGCTTGCTTGCTTGCTTGCTTGCTTGCTTGCTTGTTTGTTTGTTTGTTTGTTTGATTGTTTGTGTGTGTGTGCTGGGCAAATGTGACACAAATGATCCAAATTTCATGCAAGCTGTTTGGCCAATCATTTTGAAACATCATCTCCCCCACCCTTGCTTGCCGCTGAACAAGTTTAAGCAAAATTGGTCTGATTCAATAATCATGAGTTTCTTTTTGGAGCCATATTTAGACATCATTCCACCTTGGTTTGCCATCCGGGCTTGACTTGCCATCCGGGGATAAACTTCAAGTTGGTGGATCCGTGTTGTTTTTCTGGCTGAGTTATTCCTAGGCCCCTTTCTAAGTCATCCACTGAAGGGGTGTACCTTGTCTTCTTTGCTGCTGGTGCTCGTGAGAGTGTGGAAGCTGCAGCCAAACACCGTGTTTTTTTGACAAGGTTCCGGGCGTTCAGGAGGGACCCGGAGCCCCTAAGGGACATAAGGAATGGAACGGAGTAGCTTGGTGTCCTTGACATTTTTAGAGATTGAACCATGGAGCCATCTTGGGCGCCTCCAGTCAGGCTCTGCCTGTATATAATTGTTTGCATGAAGGATCGGGGGGCCGGGGCAGAGTCCAAGTTTGAGCAACCAAACCAAAGCCCGAACTGGAATGATATTTGTGTGTGTGTTGTTAAACATCCCCCTTTGGTTGGCTTCGAAGCACAACCAACAGGAAACCAAGCGTTTCGGAGATCCCCTAATTCTGCCAGTTCTGGCTCCCCTCCCTCCCTCCCTCCCTCTCCTTCCCTTCCCTTCCCTTCCCTTCCCTTCCCTTCCCTTCCCTTCCCTTCCTTCCCTTCCCTTCCCTTCCCTTCCCTTCCCTTCCCTTCCCTTCCCCTCCCTCCCTCCCTTGGGGAGGTGAGGGGGGGGGGACAAAGGAAGGAAGAGCCAGGTTGGAGGGAAGAGGCTAAGACACAAATAAAGCACGAATAAGGCCTAATAAGACACTAATAAGGCGTAATAAGGCACAAATCTAGCCCCACACCCACAGTTTTGCGAGTGACTGAGTCTGAGCCAGTCCCGCTATTCCCTCTGTTTCCATGGCCAAGTTGCCTTGTCACTACTGCGGCGGCAAGAATCAATGAAAGGCCCTGACCCTAAGAAAGGATTGTACACTGCCCGCGTCGAACCGTTGTCCTGACAAAGAATTGAACTAGACGATCCATGGACGATCAACCGGGGTTTTAGACTTTCTCAAAAGCGGGGACCCGGATTCTAGGGCTTGATTCCCCATTCTTTTCAACCATCGTTCTTTTCAAAAACCAGCCGTTTCACCTGGGATTGTGGAGGTTTTCTAGAAACAAGCATCCCTGGACCCCCAAACGAGCACAAATTTCCGCTCGAGGGAAACAGTGCCCGTTTCTCCCAAAAGCGCTCGTTTAGGCAAAATGCGCTCGAGGCCAAATAAGTGCTCGAGTGAGCGCCCTTTCTTGCGCATCATTGCATGTTGGAGGCGCCAAACCTCACACAACCCATCAAGCGTGCCTCAATATGTCACATGTGTGCACAGTGGACAGCGCATCTTCATTTTCGAGCACCTGGATATCTTTGCGCGCTTTTGTTCGCGGGACAACGGACCCGCTGACACTTTTTAGAATTGCGCTCGGTTGCGGGAAATTGCGCTCGAGTTGCGGGAAATTGCGCTCGAGGTTGCGGGTTGCAAACTGCCCCCAAAATGCCAAAACGTGTCAAGCATGTGCGGGTTTGTTAGGCTTCCACCAAACACGCATTTGTTGCCCGAACAGCACAGCTCGAGCAATTTCCTGCCCCACCCCCTGCTACGCGGAGGGTGTGGGCGCTGAATGGAAGTTGATTTCTGCTCGAATTGTGTTTTTGTTCCTAATAAGTGCTCGAATAAGGAAAAAGTGCTCGTATAAGCAGAAACAGCTCGAAAGAAGGGTTTGCCACAAGTTTGTGCTCGTTTGGGTGTCCAGGTCCCTGTAAAGAACCACTTCTGAGTGGCACGCTGCGCTAGATCCAAAGCTGCGTCAGGATTATATTAGTGCACTATTAGGCTCCGGGTGGTTGTTTGTTGCAAAACAAACAGGACCAAATCCTTAAACTGCCTTATTTGGGTGGGGGGGGGTTGTGCTGGGGGTGTCGTGACAACATCCATGATCATCTCAGAGCTACTGGCAGGCTAATTTGTTTGAGGTGGAGTTTCCCCTCCTTTGGTTTGTGGGCCTTTCCCGTGGCCCTTCTCCAGAACAGTACATCCATACATGGAGTCTGTGTGCCATGTTTAGCACGGGGCTAATTGTAACTGAGCATGAAGACGCGGGGCTACCCGAAGTAAACGCACTTCCCTCCCTGACAAGCCAGAACGCTGTCACAACGGGTTAGGGCAAAGTATGCTTGATAACCAGACCCCGCCCACATTTCAAGACAAACCAGAAGAAGGCCATAGAATCAATACGTGTTTACACCCACCTCTGTTTACCCTCCCACCACCTAAGGTAGAACCTGACGTTCGGGAAATGGTTCCTTCAAAAAGGCACATGGTCCAAACCAGGCCCCCCCCGAAACGTCAGCTTCGATGATAAAGAGATTGGGAGGGTACATATAACAATGCCTAAAGTTAACCAGGATTGCAGCGTACATTTTATTATATGTAACGATGCTAAATATGGGTGTGTGTTTTTTTGGGGGCCCTCCAAAATGGTTGGTTTTCCTTTTCCGTTTGGTTCCCACCAAAAACGGGTACCCTCACTCCCACTAACATGGCACCTGACAGAGGGTCCCTTCAAAAGGAAATTGATCTTCCAGGTACCCTCCCACAGATGCTATGTTTGTGGGAGGAAGGGTACCCTGAAAAAAGGAACATGTACTCTCTGCCCGGGGCGGGGCAACCTGGGCGAGCCGAGCAAAAGGCGTCGGCCGATCGGCCGAGGTGGTGATTCAGCGCCGAGCCAGGGGCATGATTGCCCGCCCTTGGCTCAGTGGGTGCCTATGCTCTCAGCAGTGCCCCCAAGCACTTGACTTCCGTTTGCCGAGAAGAAGATTGTGTTTTTGTTGGTTTCCCCTGTTGGCTACTAGACATATTGCTATTTTGTTCCCCTGTTGGTTTTATTGATGGGAATCTATTGCTATAAGACTCATTTGAGTTTGTTTCTTTTTGTGTGTGTGTTGGTTTCCTTGGTTTTGTTGTTCTTTGTGGTTTTCCCCTGTTGGCTTTAATGGAAAGCTATTGCTACTAGACTTTTTTCCAGGGGACTTCAGCAAATGGAGGGTGACCAACTAAGGCAAGACTCATTGGTTCATTTACTTGTATGGTGCCTGAGCTGTATTATGAGCGTGTCTTTTTGTGGGCAACCGCTTTTGGTGCTAAAGTCAAGCATTTGAGGAACCCGCCGCTCGGAAATGAGGGAGTAGAGGGTATGAAACAAGGAGTGCAAACCGCGACTCCTAGTCCTTGCCTTGTTTCGAACAATCAAAGCGAACCGAGTTTTGCAAGACGACCATCCTTTTGAAAAGGCCCCAAGCCTTTGCATTTATGATTGGACAAAAGAGAAAGGCCCAAAGGTCCGAACAAGACACTGGCTGACTTGTGCCACGGTGTGTCCCATTTAGAGGGCATCCAGTTGGATTTGTTTGTGTTTTTGTTAAAAAAAAAAAACAACAACACTTTTTCAAAGGGAAGCCAAGAGGAGGAAAGCCACCGTGTGTTGGGCACCCTTCTTTTGGCGCGAAATCCGATCACTCTTTTGCAGTCACACCCGTTCCTCCGTGCCCTGAATCGTCTCGAGGCAAGCGCGTGCGAGGGATGCACGAAGCAGGAGCCTGCGGCTCAGATCTCTGGCGTGTGTCTATATATATATATATATGTGCAGCATTTATGCATAGCAATATATATATACACATATACATACGAAAACCACAAAACATATTTAGATATGCAAAACATATATGATACATATATATATATATTCATTCATATATACATATATATATAATAGTATATATGGGTATGGGTATAATGATAATAATACTGACAAGCATAATACTGTTCATACTAATAATAAGAAAAATCATAACATCAATATATAGGCATTTATTATATATGGATATGTGGACATATATAATTGTTTATGGATATAAGCAGTTATTATCTATATAGATAGACAGACAGATCGATAGATAGATATATCGATAGATAGATCGATAGATAGATAGACAGATAGATGTGATGGAGGGATAGATAGATAGATAGATAGGTAGGTAGATAGATAGATAGATACATACAGACATACACACATACATACATGCATGCATGCATGCATGCATGCATGCATGGGGGTCTACTTTTCCCATCTTTCATCACCAGATATCAAATAGAAAGGTGATGGAGGAGGATGAAGGAAAGCATACCCATATTGAAAGGGAACAAAAACAACCCCCGCATTTTGAGCCATACCCCGTTTTTTTCGTTGGGCGTCCACCGACCGGGTGTTTTTCGGTGGGCATCCACGTGAGGTGAAGTTGCAGTCGCTGGTCCGCGGCGGCCTGGCGGGGGCCCCTCGTGGGTTGGCCGTGTTGAGGGGAGATGCTCAGGCAACCGACCGCAATTCTCCTTCTGACCCAACGTCGTGCCCCCTTTTTGGGGAACCCGCAACCCACCTCAATCCTCCATGGAGACTCGAGGTAAACATTTGAACCATGACCCCTTTTCGGGAACCCCCCATGCTTTTCCAGGGTCAGGAGGAGACTCCAGGTAAACATTTGAACCCCTTGCAGAAGTGGGAAACTTCTCCAATCAGCAAGGTGAGTGGGCAGATGTGTGCCGAACCAAAGCTTTGCTTTTTTTTCTTTGTTTTTTCTCGTTGCTTGATTTTCTTGTCTTTTGGAACCACATTGCTATGGTTTTGGTTTTAAAGATTGGCCAGAGTTGGTTTAGTTCGCCATGGGCTTCGGAAGTTTGTTTCGAGCTTCGGCGGACTTGATTTGGCTGTGGCTGTTAAAATATGTACCCAAAATGGGTTGCTCTGGCAAATGGAACAAAGGACCAGAACCTGCGGTCCACCGGTGGTTATTTTTTTGACCCATACCCATGTAAGTCAAAATTTGTCAAATGGGTTGCGGATTTGTTTCAGCGTGGGATGGGATTTGGCAAGATTTATGATTTAAAATGGTTTGACACAGCACCATGGCTCATTGTGTTCTTTTTTTCCCTTCTTTTTTTTCGGGGTTAGGCAAAGTTGGTTTACACGAACACACTTTGGTGCCTAGCCGGATATATCATGATGCACAGCCAAACCCCAGCTACCCAATGTTGAATTCGGCACTGGAGTTTGTAATTATTTCAGCTTTTTATTTTCCGACTTCCCTGTAGGTAAAACCAAGAAGCACATGTGCATCAAGCTACAGACTTCAAAGGCTGAATGTATGACTCCATATATGAGCCCCGGGTATGAGCCCGTAACTTGTTGGCCAGTTAACCATTTCTTACCACTTAAGTGTGGAAACAATCAGACGCAAAGGAGAGCAAATCTGGCCATAGGTGTTCGAGCAAAGGAAGCCCTTTTGAACGAAGGAGTTCCATGTCCATTTTTTGTACGGGCGGTTCCCAACCATCCGGTTCCTTAGGCTCTTAGCTTTGAACCCAAAACCCGTTCGGGGGGATTTCGCCTTTCGCAAAACGTGCAAGGCGTCCGTGGTTTGTCCCCAAACAGGTTCAGCCCAAGGGGCCGAGTTGGTTTCTATCCTTTCAGGAAAACCGTATACAACCGGTTCACACCCGGACAGGTTGTCCTTCCCTATCGCGAAGTAGAGGCTTAGCCCTTAGCTTTCATGCAACCTGGCAAATGGAACCTGCCCACCTGGTCCTTGCCAAAAGGGGGAGCTCCCTACGACAGGCAGCCCGCATGCGCAAAAGGAACCGGCCAGCAACTCATTGACCCCATTTTGGGGCGACGCCTCCAAAAGCCGTTGGTATTTTTTGTGGGGGGGCTCAGGCTCGGCGCCGCGTGGCCATCCGCCGGGTGGCGTTCCACCGCCTGGCGCGCGGCTCCGGGGTGTCGTGCTGTTTGGGGAAACCACAAGGCCTTTGGGGTGGTTTTAGATTACCAACAACACAACTCCATGGTTATAAGCTAGTCATTGGATAGGTTGAGCATCCAACAACTACAGTTTGGGTGAAAGTAAATGTCACTACTCTGTGAGGGTGAGACTAGTGAGACTCTGAGTTGTGCCATCTAGCTTCACCCGGGTGTGAAGAAGCTTATGTTTGGCAGAGATCTAAGCAGGATTCTGCTGCTGTGGTCTATCTTCACAATTATTGTCGTCTCCAAAACACCCTCAGTGAAATGACTTTGCATTCATTCTGTTGCTGGGAGAGCGATGTCAAAAGGCAGCAAGGCCGTCACAAACTGGGCAATAGAAGCCCTAGCAAAACTAGGTGTAGTTCTCCCAGACTGAAGGAAGAGGGGGGAGCGGGTTCGTCATATTGAGTTTTCCGAGTTTGGTCCGCACAGGCGAATTTATCGGCCCGTTTCCCACCAGTTGTGGGTGACCCACAGTTGACGTGTTTTTATGCGCTCGCAGCCATTTTCAGGTTTAGGGGCACTACGGCCTTCCCTTTTGAAACTTTGATTGTAGTATGCAAGCCCATTTCAGGGTTCCCCCCCTCAGAACTGAACATTCCCTTAACCTATGTGACGTGGATGTCCAATCTTCCCCAAGCAGAGTTCAGTATCATATGGGGTTGCTCATGGAAATTGCGCTTGAACCAGTGTTTCCATTGTTTGCAAGTGTCGGCTGCCCGCTGGCTCTTTGCCCTTTGTCTTTTTCTTGGCGCCCTCAAAGAAATATGATAAATTAGGATTCGTGAGACTTGGGACCAAAGGCACCTCGGGAAGAAACCAGCCCGCGTCCTGAAATAAATGCCTTGAAGGGAGAATTGGTAGGCCGTGTGAATGTCCAGGGGTGGATGTGAAAATCTCAGAAAATGACGCCATGCCCCTATTAACAGAAGAAAACCTTTGAGGAAGACGGGTTTCATGAAACGGACCCTTGTTCCGTCCTGAGCGTTCTGCCCTCGGTAATCTTCGCCCAGAGGCGAAAGTTTTTTTCGAGACCCAAACATCGTTCAACAGCGTAATTTCTGAGTGGAATGTGTTTGAAGGGATGAACATTGAGATATATTTTTAGGTTTGCTAAAAAGGTAATCCAGTCAACCAAACCAACAAGTGGTGTCCCCTGTTAGTCGGAATTCTTCACTTTTATGGGTGACACCCCCGTAGTAGTAGGATATGGGATTCATTAAGCCGGGGATTCCAGCGTTCCCATTCGGTCAAGTATTGGATTTGTATCGGTGAAGTAGGGACCTCCAGTACGACAATAGAATAGGTTGGCGAGGGTAGTTTTCGGTGTGTGTGTGAAACATATTTTGTTCTTGGGGGCAAGTAATTATATATATATACACACTAATACACTGCCGGGACCTTTGTCCTCCTCAAACAAAAACGTAGTTTCCGCCTTTGACTGGATATTCGGGAAATCGTAGCACTTTTTGCTGCAAAAACCTGAAACTCCTAAAACTCATAAAATTCACACTATTGCACTGCTCGCGGCCTTTGCCAGAGTAAAGGAAGCTTTTCAGGGGTAAACGACTTAATGCAGCCCGCAAGTTTGTCAAAACATGCAACAGCGGTCCAAAGTTGTGTGGTGCAGAAAAAGCGCCCCATTTTGACCCCAAAACGCCCGCAAGTTTCCGCAAATCTCCCGCAACAACCCGCAAGTCAGAAAAAGTCGTAGTTTTGATGACCAAGGCATCCCATGGTGTTCATGGGCACGTTGGCAAGGGCTGCGAGGTGTATTTACTTTGTATGCCCAACGTGCGACTGGAAACGACGCAATTCGCAGGTGTTCTTGCCCAAATTGTAGCTAAACCACTGGAATTCGGTAAAACGTAGGGATCTCCTAAAACACCCAGAAATTTCCCGGAGTTTGAAGGTCCTGGTGGGTTGTTCAACAGCAATCCTGAATCCGGAATTATGCCACATGCCTCGCTTTCCCTTGTAGTAGTTGTGTCCCACTGCGTGGGATGAGGATCCCCCCACTTTGAACAACCCACATGTGTGTATATATATATATATTTACATACATATATATATATATATGCACATATACACACATATATATATATACATATATATATAATAATAATGCCGTTTGAGGTTTTGCTAGGGGTGGGGGGTGGGGGGTGGGGAGGGGTACACTGATGGTTGCCCCACGCTCCGAAACCACGGACAGTGCACCCGAAGGCATGTGACACACGTCCAAATTTTGATTACTTGAGACACATGGCCATGGGTCAAAACCAATGGTACCATTTTGGGGTAGGTGCACCACCCATTTTAGTCTATTTTAGTGGGGATTGGGATGTTCACTGGGGGCACGGGGTTTTGACCCATAGCCATATGACATGTATCAACAGCTTGCGAGGGCTTCATATTGCTCCGGGGGAAAGATTGCCTGACTTCCATCAAAACATTTCTCTCATTTGGGTGCTGAAAATAGGGGACCCCCGAAATTCTAGGGGAAGCTTCCATGTCCATTCTTTCCAGGAATCCTCCTTTTCAGGAAACCCTAAAAAGTCCCAGGGCACCCAGCCGGTCTTCGAAGAAGAAAACAAAAACGGCGGTTGAAAAGAATGGGGCATGAACCACGACGAAAAACAAGTTTTATTCCCCACGGTTTGGCGCATCACCTGACCTTTGGTTGCTCGGTTCCGAGGTTCCGAACCCTGCAGGTTTTCCGAGGCAGTTGCTTCCTAGGAGCCTAAGACCTCGAAAAAAAACCGAGGCCTTTGGGGGTCTGAGGTGCTGAGACGTCGGGTCTTGGGCTCCTAGGGTGTTGGTTTCCCCACCCAAAGGGTGCCCTCAGGGTGCCCTCCACTTCCTCGACACACACGGCGCAGCCAGGCTTTGACCATCCAGTGTGCCATACGCCAGCGGCCCAGTGCGAGTTCTTCGACCGCGAATTGTCGCAGTTGGCGCTTGATTCAAAGGGCTAATTTTTGTTTCACGCCATCTTATCATCACAACTCGATTTGGTGTTTAAGTCCTACAGGGTGCGTACCCCAAAGAACATCCCTAGAAAAGGTCTATACGTGGGGTATGTAAGTTGGCCCGTAGACCCATTTGTTGGTTTACCGAGGCTGTGATTGCGACAAGATTATGCAAATGATCAACAACTTGTCCATCTGAGGTACGCAGAAAAGAGGTGTGCACTACCCTCTTGTGCTCTGCGTTCATCAAAACGAGCGTGCAAGAATTGCGTAAAATGACCTCTGGGCTGGACTTTCTTTCGGCCATGCACCAGATCATAGGGAACCACCTCGCCTTATGGATTTCATTCAAGCCAGCAAATGGCTGTCGTAGATTGTGTGTTTTCCCACAGGAAAACACATACCTGAACCCTCCAAAAGTACTGAAATTTCCGTACATGCAGCAAAAAAGTGACAATGTACACTTTTGAGGAAATTTGACGGACATCACTTTTAGCAGGCTGTGAGCGTTTGTGGTGCACTTGGATGCACATGAGCACAGTTTGCAATTTACACGGCCCGTCATACTTAATTCCGTTTCAGGTCTTTCGTCTCCAATTGCTGTGGGGCAATGTGTGACAGCTTCCTTGCCGCTTTTGCGAGTTTGCAGTTTTCTCAGCCAACATGCAGAAACCGCAAATGCACGGAAATCGGCGGGAAATGCACGGAAATCGGCGGGAAAAGTACGGAAATCTGCAAAAAATGCACGGAAATCAGCGGAACATTTTCTTGAGGAAATGGGCACCTTTTGTCCTTGGTGAATTGCACACCTTCAAATGGTATGAGCATGACAATCTCCAGTGCCATGGCCGGAGCTGAAAGTGAGATTCTTGTAGAAAAAAGGTACCAAAATGCTCGTGTGTCTTATGTTGAGCCTACAAGAAAAGTACAGTTTTTGCTCAGCAACCAAGACTCGCTCGAAGGAAATCTGGCAGGTTCGAGTGGAATTGTGTGAACTTGTTTTCATGCTCGCATGGATTGCATTGTTTTGCCCCTGCAATTCGGGCGCTTCTAGTACTCATTCGGCTTCCTGGCGTGAGCACGGCGAAGATGTTCTTGCCAACGTGCGACGGAGAAGCCCGAACCGGTCATGGCTCTTGGGATATATTGGGGTCATTCAGGTCATTGACAGCCAACACAAGGAGGCTACAATTTGCAACCACAAGCACCAAGCACCGGCTGGGCGTTGGGGTTTGCCCAGGGACCCACCTGGCGTGCAGACGCACGCAGGCGCGGATGCCGCCTTGAGAATGGGGTGTTGGGGACCCAAAGCGGATGTCAGCATGTTTCTATGACTTAGGTACAGGTCAAAATGAAAGAGCTGGGGTTACGCGGGTTTTAGTCTTTGGCTCCATTTTCCATGCCATTTTGGTACCACTTTTTGAGCCACAGCCACTTGTGAGTGGGGTGGTTTGGCTGGCACCGAGCGCCCAAGCCTAGTGGCCATGTTGGTAGGGCTCTTGGCAAAACCAGAAGTCTAATGGCTTCGCCGCTACTCATGTCTATATATATATATACACGTGTAGATGTTTGTCTTGTCGCCTCGGTTTACTGGGAAACCAACAAGAAACCCACAATTTGTTGGGCGCCCCAATTTTGACATATCCCATATGTTGTTTAGGTGTGCACTGAGATGTTTTTTTTAATGGCAGATGGCAGACGCCTTTCAGTTGAAACATCCGGGTTCACCCTCTGACCTCAAAACTGCAGGGTTCCCGATATATATATATATATATATATTCTAAGGGGAGCTTCCCCATTATTTTCAGGGATCCTTCTTTTCAGGAAGCCCTCAAAAACCCAGGGGAAACAACCGGTTTTTGAAAAGAACGATGGTTGGCAAGAATGGGGAATCAACCCCTAAATCATTTTTTTTCACGGGTTGGTGCATCACCTGACGTTTGGTTGCTCTTGGGTTCCGAACCCTGTAATTTTTCCGATCAGGCAGTTACTCAAAACAATACCCATGCAGAACAATTCCCATGCAGGACAATGACTTTCCCTTTGCCCAACTAGCATGTACATGGGCAGGATGTCGGAAGACTAGCATGATCTTTCAAAGGCCTCCTATTCACTGTCATGATTGGAAAGCTGGTACGCCTAGGGCAGGTGGGAATGTTCATGCAGTCTTTAAGCAGCCTGTAAACTTCCGAACTCACCAGCCACGTCTGCGGATGCAAAATTCCTGAAACAGGGCCCTGAAGCTTTTGGGGAGTGTTGACCAACCAGTTCTCCGCAACTAAAAGCCTTCCCAGAGACGAGCCCTAGGGCCCCTGCTGGCCACTTTTTAACCGGCCTGTCGATGTTTTTCTTTTTCAGGGTGGTGATGATTCCAGATTGAAATTCAGTTCAAAGTGAGCCAAACTGTTTTGGTGGGTTGGTGCATGTTTGGTTGGACATTGCGCGGGATCCATCTCTTGGTGCACCAACCGGACGGAGGCTCTGCGCGACGCAAAGGCCGACCAGAAGGCAGGCTCAGCGGGGCAGGGGAAGGCAGACATCCCAGCAAGATCTTTCGGCCTATTTCTTAGCGACAACTGGGGGGTATATCGAACTCAGCGTGACAAAGGTCCTTTACTTGGGGATCCCCTGAAACAAAACTTTGGGATTATAGTCAAATTTGCAGATCTTGGGTTTTTTGACTGGGATCTTCAAAGCAGAAGGATTGGGTAAACAACATTTGAAAGACCGTGTCTAGAGGTTTAGTACACTTCTGGTAGCCACTGGTCCCTAATTATGAAATGATCGGCTTGTCGCGGGATGAGAATGAACCCCTCAACGGTATCCATCTTGGGTCTCCATGAGCGTTGCCAACCAAAAAACGAGAGTTGAGAAATGAGGAATTGGTGAGGATCCCGGAATTTCCCCACACTAGGCCCTAATTATTTGTTTGTATTCCTGTTTGCATTTCCCCTGTAAAGTTGCGGAAGTTGACCTCCCTGAGAAAAATCGATACATCGGGGTCACGCCTCAGGTTGTTTCTGCAGAACACCCATTTTGTATGACCGTTTTTTGGGCAAAGGATGCCATCATGTTCGAGGAACATTGGCAGGCACATTGGCAGGACTCAGAGCCAGCGCGCCCACTGCAAAATGACTGTTTGATATCAGGCCGACTCCACAGACGTGAACTTACAGCAATTTCTAGTGACCACTTGGTGAAACAATCAAGCGCCTCCTCGCCCGAGGGTAGTCTTTTTGTGGGCAGCTGCCCTCGTACTCCCCTCATGTTGTAGATTCGTTCGCCGATCCCCAGTACTATACCACAAAAAGGCAACTCCAACCCTACCCCCTAAATATAAAGGGGGGACATACTTGCCACAGCGCCATGTGAGTTGTTTCTATCCCAAATGTCCAGAGAAAAAACAGGGGGAAAACAAAACATTGGTTTCCCTTTCCACCTGCTGGACCAAACGGCTTCCCTTTGACAAATTTGATGATCACTTGCTTTTATCACACGTGGAAAGTATCATTCTGCTTGTTTTGGCCAAATTCGTCTGTCTTTCGGTTCAGGGTACCCATTTGGGTGAAAGCCATCCAAAGGTGGTGCGCGGCTTCGGCGTTTTGTAGGCCCGCGAGGAGTCCGCGGTCCACATCCAGCGCCTCTACCGCGGCACGCAAGGCACTGGATTTTTGTCCAACTTCTGTGATACTGTCAGTCTGTGGATGGACGAAATCCATTTCGCATCACTTTGGATCCATGGGAAACCATTGGTGTTTACAGGGGGAATCATCGTTCCAGGGCTTCTTAGGTCATTAGGTGGTGCAAAATGGATTTTGTCTACCCACAGTACCCCCCCCGAGTGAAGAATGAGGCATTGGGCAGGGCTTCAAGTGCATGGACTGACTTCGGAAGTTCCAGATCCCACAAACTGCATGGATGTGTTTTCCACATTCTACCTTCATGGGTGAACTGTTGATAAGTACTGTGGGTGGACCAAATCCATTTCGCACCACCCAAAAATCCCTGGCAGGATTCGATTCCCTTGTAAATACCAACAAACCATGGTTTCCGTTCCCGTGGTTTCCAAGTGGTGCAGGATTTTGTCCACCCACCCCTAAGTGAAGAATGAGGCATTGGGCAGGGATTCCAGTGGTATCACACTGGTTGCAACGCGGAAACGCCCTGGACCTTGCTGTTTTTGGACACCGCGTTTCGGGTTGCTTCCCATTTTGGCTGACTTTATGTTCAGAAGGTTCCCTCTTTGTTGAGGGCAGAGCTTCTTTTCAGCTCAAATAGCAGCGCGGTGAGTTTCCTCTTGCTCGGCTTTTATGAAGTGAGTCGTTTTGTTTGGCACGTTCCATGATCTTGCGTGCGGGAGGGAGCATGCTTCAAGCGGGATCAGCCGGTGTAACCCTATTGTATGAACCCAAACAAGAATCCATGTATCAGTCCAATGGTCCTAATCTTGTTGATGGGTGGCTAGCGTACCACACTCATCCATGCTGAAAGCCACACACCAGGGCTTTTATAGAAATAAATATACTCTGCAAGCTAACGCGGACCCCTAATGGCACTTTCTGGAGGAATCTCTGAAGTTAGGGGAGCACCAAAATGGGTTCAATGCTAATCTATGGAATAAGTTCTCAGTGGCCATGCTCGCCTACAGGGGCTTCACGGCATCCGGAGCTGAATTTCGGATTCCGGAGGCACAATCCACAAATCCGCACTATGGAATTTATTGTCCAAGATAACCTAGTAAACACGGTCAGGAAGAATCCGACATTAGTTGGTGTTCCTGAGGGCTTTGGATGTCTTGGGGTGTCTTGAGCAAACCCTTTTGGGCTCGTTTGCAAGGGATAAGGGAACCCCCTTTTGGCCGTGCCAACCTTTATGAGACCTTGAGATCGCCCATCGAACCCCTGGCGTTCCCAGAATCGGGAAGCTTACGGCCAGGTCGGGAGGTCGCGCAACAGAAGCTGGACCTGTCGCAGCCTCGGCGGTTGCGTGAAAGTCTCACTCCCAGAGTGGGACGTTCGACCGTTTTAGTGCTACACGAAGGACAGCGTTTAGATGCAAGTCTGGCACTTTTACTTTGAGGGTTTTTTCCCCCCATGTATGTGTGGTTTTCCTTGGATCAGTTTCAAGTGGAGTTCCAGATCCCACACACTCCACGGATGTGTTTTCCACATTCTACCTTCATGGGTTAAATGTTGATAAGTACTGTGGGTGGACAAAATCCATTTCGCACCACCTAAGCCCCTGGAATAACAAGCCATGATGTCACATGGCTTCCAAGTGGTGCAGGATGTGATCCACCCACAGCATTACCTACACCAGCACTCCTCAACAACTTCTTGTTCCCATGTCCAGAATCCCAAGTACTGTCCAAGAATCAGTGGTTGGGGGGGGGGGGGGGGTGCTGGCATGGATTGTGTAGATGTTGCCCTCTTCCTCTGACCATGGGAGTTGTGCAGGTACAACCGCCAGCTGGAGCAGTACAGGGCTGCCACCAAGCTGCCCGGACCCAAGCGCAATGGCCAGCGAAAGGCCGTTTTTTCAAGCAGCACGGCTTCCATTTGCTCAAGAATACTCCTGGACCTTCAAACTCCGGGGGGGAAAAACAAACTAAGTGGAAACTACAGTTTTTGTCAGGAGGACGAAGGTCCAGGTTTATATTGTCCCTTGTCGGTTTTAAAGCAAAATCTATGACTACTGGAAATATGCTCATTTGTTGCAGGGTGTGTAAGCAAATGGAACACTGTCAAACCGGAAGGAGAGACTTATTTGCCCTTCGGGCGAGTCGGCCCACTAATTACTCGTGTACGGCTTTCCCATTCCGAAACAGTCGCTTTTGCATAACTTTTTGGGTGGGTATCGTTTGCGGTAGCTTCCCTCTTGGTTTCCTTATGCCTGCAAGTTCGGGACACCGTGAATATGGATAGTGGCTTGAATGCATGCGCGGAGTTGTTGCTTGCCCTCTCTTGGCTGGGTGTTCGTGCACTTGTGTGTTGCTACCAGCACGACATCTTGGAACTAAGCGGGTCATCCTATTGGGCCGGTTGCAGCTTGTGATGAGTTCAGAGCGGCTGGCCGGGCAAACTTCAGAGAGTATGGTCAAGTTAGGCTCTGGCACCCAATATGCCCCCGACTTGGTGGATCCATTTTTGCTCAAATGCATTGCGCGTGCAAGTTGCTTCAAAGGGAGAAGGTTTGAACCTTTGGCAACCTTTGGTAAAAAGACCCCTCCACTCTCTTCCCAAACCGACATGTTGACCTTTTGGCCGCCCAGATTTGATCCATGTTTAAGGATGGTTTCAGACAGCTCGAAAGGTTCACCTTTTCGACGGGTCGGAAGTGAGCTCGTAATCCAACTTGGCCCTTTGAGTCGAAGATAGATATGCCTGCTCGCTTGAGGGGTGCGCGATGAAGAACCATCAAAGTAGTGTGCCTTCGAAAAAGGCGCACACTCAATTGAATCTGCAACCCACATCAACCCACATCAACCCATCTAGAAAGTGGTTTATAGTCATGGCCAAAAAAGACTTACTAAGCCGGTTGCGCAGGCAGTCTATGGCACGGCGCGATGCGGCCATCAAGAAAGTGGGGGCCGTTGCCGGGCCGGGGGGGGGGGGATGAAAGGAGAGCAACCGGTGAATATTTTAAAGGGAGAGGACAGGGAAAGGATCAAACCACATATTTCTTTGTTGGTTGTTGTTTCCTGGGGGGGTGCCCCTTTTAGTTGGAAGACAAAGGGGGCGCCAAATGAAACAGGGGGCTCTAGTTGAATGAGGACAACCTGGTCGGTTGAAACCCACTGGTATAATTGCCTTTCCGGAACCTTCCCTTAGTTGTCATGCAGGCCTTCCAGCGGTCCCCATCATCCCTTTGGCCCCTGGGATGCGAGCGGCTTTGAGCTCCGGGGTGGTGCTGAAACAAGTGTCGCTCCTCTGAGTTCCCCATGCCGTAAGAACCCAGAAAGCCCTCAGCATTGTAACCCTCTTAGAGCCATCCAGCCGTACTTTGGTGCATTCTGCTTGGATGTTAGAACTTTGACTTTTTGCCAACTAGCGGGTTTTCCATTCAACCACTAAAAGTTAAGGCAGAAAGCAACGGAGTGATTCTTGTACGCGGGATTTTGCTGGGCGGTGCTTGGTGGAGAGCCTCAAAATGCATCAAAACCTATTTTCTACCAGGGTATGGAGGTCCACCTGGGCCGACCATGCCGCAAGAAAAATCGGCCCAACGGGGCGTGTTCCTTTTTCAGGCCCAAAGACCCGAGCGGGCCTCTGGAGAAACCACGCGGTTTCTAGTTGTCCCTTTCCAGTTCTATGCACACTTCCAGGGGTTTGGTGCTTGCCTCCTGGGCAAATGACCCCCCACCCAAAGATGCCGTATCCTTCAAAAGGAACACCCATCGGAAAGTGGGTTGGTCAGCGCGGACCAGGGGAAGGAGCAAGGGGTATGTAGAAGGGGGGTTTGTCAAAAATAGGGCCCGCTTTTGGTTACTGACATTTCATTTTGTTACGCCTTTGGGGTTCAACAAAGCGTCCAACAATGTTCTGCAATATATTGCTGCTTCTCAACAACTTGGTGTCACTCTGTCAAGAGGTCGGCAGAGAAAGCAAACAGTTTAGCAAACAGCCTTGCTGCGCCTTTTTGGTGAGGGAATGAGGGACCGAGCCTTACCAACCGTACCCATTGGGGGGTCTGTTCAGGTATCCCTTTTGTTTGAACGGCCGCCAGGATGAGCTCCTGTGCCAAGGTTCAGGTATCCCTAGGTGCATTCCCAAAATCCCTGTTCAGTTTCTATATACTGGTATATCGGTTCATGTTTTTTACTGAGAGCCAGCAGTGTTTTAGCCGAGACAGAGGCGATTATCTTTTCTTTCTGCGTGGGTTGGGCCGAGAAAAGTAGCGATCCATGGAGAGTTTTTGCGCCGGTCGCTCAGGTAGACAAAGTCCGAGCTGACAAGTTCGACAAGATGAACCAGGTGATCGCCATGGGGGAGGGAAGAATCCTAAAGGGAGCCCTTGAAATACATCCTTCCAACCCTCACTCCCTGACTTCATACTTTTGGAGCAGACAATTTTAGTGGCAAACAACAATGTGTTTTGTGTGGCCAATCTACCCAGGAAGTGAAAGCCTATAAACATGATTCAAGGAAGTCTCAAATTTGAATAGGCCGGGATGAGCGGTTTGCTTTGGGCTTGCATTTAAAGCCATCCCGAACAACAGTTCCACGGACATTCTGAGACAGACCCAACAGATGCAAGAAGGAATTCGCAATCAACTCCACTTGACCATCTACCTGTGCAGTGAACTGCACCTTTTCAACCGGCGGCTATAACCACTCACCCTACTTCCATGGCCCGACTTGTGTGTCGTTCATGCCCTTAACTAGGTCCCTCAGTAGTGCCCTTTTACCCTTTTTTGGGGGAGGGTTCCCCTGCTAAAATTGACTACAGCAAAACAAATCGGGCATCCCTATTCTAACCTCTCTACTGGAGGACCTAGTTGAGGTGGTGTTTAATCTTCCTGATGTTTGACCGTCCGGACATGTGGAGCCCTGTGTTTAGCCACATCGGAAGAAGCCGAAAGGAGGGCTGAACTGCTTTTACGCATTTGCTTCAGCTGGGTTCCTGGCTTTGCCTGAAACTTGACAATGAAAAGAGTTTCTTTTGGGGTTCATATCCGCCTTTTCAGAAGCCATCTGAGACTTGCTGCTGAAATAGAATTCTGAGCCCACCCCAGCCCCGCCCCGCCCCGCCCCACCCCACCCCACCCCCACCCCACCCAACCCCACCCAACCCCGCCCCTCCCCACCCCACCCCACCCCACCCCACTCCACCCCACCCCACCCCACCCCACCCCACCCCACCCCACCCCACCCCACGAGGGCTTCGGCTTCCAGCCTCTTACCGATTCAAAGGCGGCCCCCCCGAACCTCGCGAGGCTGCCACCTTCATCCGGAAGATGTGGCTCGGTGCTAGGACACGCAGGAGGTGCCCCCGAACCGAAAAGGAGAGCCAGCGAATCCCGGAGCCAGGGGGGCGGGGGAAGGGAGTGGGCGGTGGGCACGGGGGGAGGGGGTGTGGCAGGTGTGGGTTGTGTTGTTGATTTGTGTGCGAAGATAAGACATTTGTTGTTTCGGTTAATGGGCCGTAGCAAGCCCTTGAGAAGGTTTGGTTGGTGGAGCCAGCCCTCACTGAGGCCTAAGTGCATGCTGCATGTCTGGGGGTTGGTTTCTGGAAGCTTGGGCTGCGCTGAATGGAAAACGACACCTGTTCCATGCTGCTTGGATCAAGTGTCTTGTGAAGCCCAAGCCTTGCGTGGGTTCTCTTGGTCATTAAGGCCTTAGTAAGGAAAGGAAAGGGAAAACATGGCAATTTGTGCGATCATCTCTTATTTTTAAGACCATGTGAGCAGCGCCCAACCTTTTTTTTGGGTATTAAACCCGAACAGCCCGGCCGGTGGATTCGATTCCCCAAAGTGTCCGGGCATGTTTTGGGCATGGCCAGAAACCCATCAAAGGGCATGGCTAGGGGCTTAAGATCATTTGTTGGGGTCACTCCCCACATGCGGCTGGCGAAGGGGCCAGGAGGAGAAGATCCATGGGTCAAAAGCCCGTACCTAGTGAACATCCCAATCCCCACTAAAATAGATTAAAATGGGTGGTGCACCTACCCAAAATGGTACCATTGGTATTGACCCACAGCCATAAATTATATTAAATATGAACATTGCATTTTAATTAGGAGGGACATAACCACAGGAGTTCCCCATTGGATCAATTCTCGTTCAAGAGGTGAAGCAGTACGGCTCTTGCGAAGACATGCACTTGGAGGGTTCCTGTGCCACTTTCGGCTCATTCCGGGTTAGGGATGGAAGGCAAGGAACGGGTTGTTGCGAATAGGTCTTAAACCCGCCATTTTCCTTGGAAGTCCTGAGGAAGCCAATGCCAACTCCGCCCATCTCTGTGAGAGGAAGCCTGCCCTTTTTTCGACGTTCCCCGACCTCATGTTTCATGCAGTCTTACGTATCATGTTTCCTCTTTGCCCTGTTTCGGAAGGTTCACTGAACATGGTTGCCAGAATGACTGAAGCTTGGTCAGGTACCGCGAGCTGCTGGAGGAATTCGGAAGGCCCGGGCTTGCGATGTGGGCGTTTGGGTCTGAGGGAACCTTGGGGAAGACATTTCCGACAAGCAGGCCGCTTTCCAGGCTGCCTGTTCGATTCCAGCCCTTTCCCCATGACCAATGCCTTGTTCAAACACCTGGTACCCTGTCGACAAAAAAAAGTGTTGGTCCCCGGAACTCATGGGATGCAGTTCTTTTTGGTGAGGCGGGTTACCGTCCCAAGTGCTGGAAAGCACCAGCCAAGCTGCGCAAAGGTGAGGCCTTTCTGTCCCATGAGCGAAAGAAATCACAGGTAAGCTCAAAGACGGGGGCTTGTTTTTTATTTTTTTGTTTTTCTTCTTCTTTCTTTCGTTCTTTCTTTCTTTATTTCTTTCTTTCTTAGTGATTTGTTATTTTCGTTCTGTGTTTTGAGGTTTTCTCACTTGCACCGTGAGCTTGCTTTGCTTCGAAAGAAGCCGTCGAGCGGCTTCGCGAAGTCGAAGCTATAAAATTTGGTCGCTTGGCTCAGGCACGTGCACAACGTGGTCACCATCCAGCGCTACGGCCGCGGCTTCCTCGTCCGCCTTCGGATGTGGCGCCAGGCCGTTTGGGGGGTGGGGTTTCAGGGCCCAAGTGGGGGGTGGTAGGGGGAAGGAAGCTGTTTGGGCCATGGAACCTGCCCTTCCCTACCCAAAAACCCATGGAAAAGAGTCTAAAAGACGGGAATCGAAGGAGAGGCCAGATCTGCTGAAGCCAAAAATCCTGGGAATACACGGCTTTTAGACTACATGGAGCGCTAAAACGCATGAGTGGTAGGATCGGAACCTCCTTTTGGGACTTGGACCTGCGATGATTGGCACATCAAGAAACCAACAGACTTCCCTCTATTTTCCCGCTTATCAATCTGAGCGGCGATGTTCAAAGCCCTTAAACAAGGTGGAACATCTGTGAAAAAATCCGAAATGCCCTGACCAAACTTACCTGCATCAGCTGTTGCTGGTTCATGACAAGGTGGCGGCTTTATCTAATATGTTCTCACAAGTCTCCAATTAAGTCGCCAAAACCTTAAGAAAGTAACTTTAACAAGGTTCGTTCACAAAGAACACAGAGGTTTTCCTGGGTTCCCATGAAAAATGACCGAACTAGCCAAGGGCTTTATGGGTTCCATCTTCAGCTGGGGAATAAGTCTGATTATGCTTGGCCATGCGGGAACCGAACCCCCCCCAAACGGGTCTGTCTTTTTTTTTGGTACCGATTTTTGGGTGTGTCTTACAGGGTTTCCGAGCCATTTCCCTTTTGGAACTTCCTCGAGTGGCAGTTTCTATGGAAATCATGAGTAAATTGCAGCCTTTGAAGGAGAAATCCAGTGACTGCTGTCTTCAAGGGAAACCAACTGGAAAACTGCACCTGTTTGGGGGTCCACTAAAGCCGAGCCCTCCGTTTGGGCACCCCTTAAACTCCAACGCCTTCCAAGTCTGTGCTGTGTTTGTTTGCTTCGGGGTATGCCTTTTGGATAGTTTCAACTTCTCCAAAATCGAAAGCACATTTGGATGGTGTCCTTTTTTTGAAAGCTATGGGATCCCTGCCCAGATAGGCTCAATCGGGGGGGTTTGGAGCAGATTCTAGGGAGGGTTCTGGCCCCATTTTGCGGGTTCCATTTTGAGACACCCCTAGTAATGCTCGTATACCCCTTTTTTTTATCCTTTTTTGGGGGAGGGTTCCCCTACTAAAATCGACGAAACAGAAAAGAAACACGGGTACCAATTTATTCTAGCCTCGCAAAACTGGAGGACCTAGTGATGTTCATTTGCTTAAGACTAGTTGTTTTATGTTTCCCTCTTGGTTTCAGACATTCGAGGAATCTGTGATCTGCTTTCCCTCTTGGCCTTTGGCCCCGCAGCCAGCCGCCGGCCTTTCTACGCGCCGTCGCCAGGCCGTCCGCGCGGAAGAGGAGCTCTGGGGCGCGCTGGAGATCCAACGCGTGTGGCGCGGGTGCCCCCAAAATTTGCACGTTTTTTGACCGCCCCACTCGAGAAGGCTGTGGCTCAAAAAAGAAAAGCTTATGTTATTTTACTGTTTTGCTGTGAGGGCAATCAACCAACTTTTTGGTTCATGCCCTTGGTAAAGAGAACCAAAGACTAAAACCCGCGTAACCC